GGCAGCTGAGGTTCTGTCTTTACCAGCTGATGTAAATACCTGTACTAAAGCCACTGACTGAGGCATGGATGGACTCTCAATATGCTTGAACGTGTTAATTCATATACAGCAGGGCACTATACTCTCATTGTCACGGTTTCATCTCTAGGATCAACGAGGCTCCTTTAAACTCAGTTTTCAAGGTGTGTAACTGTGTAACTACTCACCTTCTTGTCCAAACTGGTGGATGAGATTGTCTTCCAAGATGGCACTGGATGCAAAGTTATTACCTACATCCACAAAAGTGGGCAGGGATCCAGTGGTGAAGCCCTTGATCCTCTGCATGGTGGTCGTAGGCGGGTCGGCACGAAATGGGTACAGGCGACTGTGCGACGGCTGGGATGAGACTGTTTCTTGCAGCACAGGCAGCTTGTTCTCATGAGGTCGGGGAGCCGTGTTGTTTGGGTCAAACCGGGCGAAGTCAATCTTCAGGGCGTCGATTATGAGAAGGACTGCCCTGCGGAACCGCGGCTGGACGCGGCAGAAGTCCACAGGCTCTTGTCCGGGCTGTAGCACGTCTCTGCAGGTGCTGGTCCTGTTCACCTCCAGCCGCACCAGCAGAAAACCACTCATGAACAGGTAGATCCCCACAAAGTATACCGCACACATCCAGAGGAGCAAGAACAGCACCCGGAGCGCCTTCATCCTAAACACACAGGTGGCAGTAGTAAAGTTACGAAGAGAAGTCTGGCACACTTGTTCCACACCAAGGCTTAAAAAAGTCAAAGGAACAGCTGCCTGGGAGTGAGACCTGCTAAACGCGATGCTAATGTTGGCATTGTGTAATACCAGTTCCAGTTAAACGTGATAGATATTATTAACCAGCTGACGTTTTACTAAGAGAGGGAGAAGGTTAACATTAATAAGTTAAGGCTGTTAGCCGTGGCTAGCTCAGCTCGCTCTTGTCACTGACCTTGTTAACAGTCCGGTTTTTGTCCTCTCTCGGCAGGGGTAGGACTTCAATGTGTGTGTTCACAACACGGGGTTACGAGTGGCTCAGCTAAGCAGAGAACAACGCGACACCACCCTCACCTGCATTGGGACTCCAGTACAGGGAGATCAGATGCTTGTAACAGCTAGGAACTACAGCGTGAGAGGAACCCGGCGGAAGTCCGGGGCGGACGACTATCTTCGTAACACCTAGTTATGTTAGTATTTTAACCCTTAAAGACGGCCTTTCAGGGACAACTTAAAGCCAGTCATCGGGCAGTAGAACAGAAACACACATGAAGAAGGGATGGGCAAGAAGTGAACTTTATTTTGTCAATAATCGTCACATAGCAAGTTATTTATTTTCGCTGAGGACTCAAACACTTTTTTTTTT